TAGCGATTTAACTGAATCTGTAAGTCAGCTACACTGTTTAATTCTGAATATTATATTTTATTCTGGTGCGCTTAACGTTATCGTTTTCTCAGAGTTTAGGCTCCTGTGTAATAGTAGCCTAGGCTATTCAGCAACTCAAACATACCAAACCAACAATTACTAAAAACACACAAAAACTGATTTTGCACGGGCATTGCACTAGTAGTTATTAATGAGTAATTATTGATTAAGGAATTATCTCCTAAATTTGAAATTAAATTAATAAATTTGTATAAAAATGAATAAAATTATCCCCTAAAGTTACTTATTCATGACGGATCATTATTATAAAAGTGTTACCATAGATTTTCTGAAAGTGGGTACTACATTTTTTTCTTTATATACTAAGGCCAATCAAAGTAAGCGATCAATCAAACTCTTTAAAAAAACAGTCATTATTGCCAAAAATACAGAGAAAAGGGCAATAATAATATATGGACAAAGGTATAATTTCTAAAAATAGGTGAGTCAGTTATAATGGTTTCTACGCCAACGCTAATGAATTTATGCCAGGACACATTTGGTCACATGGTTCTAGGTACTGCTACAGACTAGATAAATGTATAATGAAGTTGGTGAAAGGAGGATTTAGAGTGCAATACCCTTAAAATAGCTTACTGCAACCACTGCTTTGAGCTAGCGGAAGAGAAATCCCATCATGACAGATTTTTAGGGGGACTATAAAAACAGTGTGGCTGAAGCCCTTCTAAATAAGGTCCAGAATTGCCTATGGACATTGAGGACATACACTAAAGGGTGACACACAACAGGACACGATAGACTGTGTGACAGAGGTAAGCACACTATCAGTGTATTAGGATAAGGGGAGTACGCTGCCTATAAATGCTGAGTGACAGAGGTTCACTGTGATGGCATCTCTGAGGATTGTAGATCCTTATCTCTCTGGGGGACATTGCTCGCTTTCTCTCTCTCTCTCTCTCTCTCTCTCTCTCTCTCTCTCTCTTTCTCACTCGCATGCACCATTAGCACATCTCTGTGCCGATAAGGTCTCTATGCAGGTCTAATTGTGAGGAAGTGTGCGAGAGCTTTGTGAGTTTCTTACCCAAGGGTGCACGATCTGAGAGCGCTGGTCGTCCTATATCAACCTCTAGCAGAGAGACTTCCTCACGCACACACAAGTATAGACCCTTTATTGTTGTAGTTAATCAACTTAATTACCAGATGATAATGCATGCGCTCAATCTCTACAGCAGCATTTGTGTCTTTTATCAGTGTGTGTCCATGTAGGTATTCTACTGTTGAAGTGTGTGTGGGTGTTTAATTTTAGCACACTGATGGGAGGTGTAAAGTATTGGAAGCAATGTGAGTGACAAACTAGATGATTTCCCATAATTGCTTTGGGCACCGCTGCTTTAATGTAGCAGCTGTACTGCGGCAAGGTTCTCAGAATGGCTGCTTGTCAGTCTTCAACCATTCCCGTACATTATTTCATGAAGAAATAATCTGATTATGGCATAATCCATTGAGCAGGTTCATCTTGCACACTGGATTAGTCTCTTTTTAGGCACAATGAGATTAGTTTTTGTGGCGACACACTCACTTCATTGATCTTAGATGATGTGCGAGGTTCTCGCGCATCTCGTCTTTTCTCCTCTCGTCTCTTCACTTCCCTTCTATCGTCTTTTCTTTTCTTGTCACATCTCATCTCATCTCGTCTCCTCTCCTCTCTTCATGTCACGTCTCTTCTCTTGTCTCTTGGTGACAGAAACAGAAAAACTACAAAAATAACGTAAATAGAGTATAAATAGGAATACAGAATATGACAGAAGGAAAAAAAGACTAACTTTGCCCTTGTGAAAAAGTAGTGCGCTTAATTGTATTGAATGTGTACTTGTAGTGTGTCACGGTGTGGTGTGGGTTGAAGAAGACTCAAAGTCCAAAGGCTCCAATACAAACTTTTACTAATAACAAAACAACAAACCGGTACGGTGCAGGCAGACGGGCAGAGGGTACACACACAAAGGTAACATTCACAAGAACCGACAAGGACTGGCTGAACAGAGGGAAACTAAATACAGATACAAATGAACACTAACGAAGTGAGGACAGGTGACACAGATGATGATGACGATAAACGGGTGGGTAATGAGGGAGTGAGTACAGGTGTGGAGACAAGGAGGATTCTGGGAACTGTAGTGAAGACGAAGACAGGATGGTGCAGACGATGACTGTTGCCATAGTGTGCTTTAGATCTTAAAAGTATATTTTGAAGAAAAAACTGTACTAGCAGATAATATAAAATTAATGCAATAAAAGACCACTTTCATAACAATGCTTCTTAACACACTTAAGTACACTTTTAAAAACTGCACTTTGTGACAATGTCAGATTTAAAGTTACTTGAAATTACACATTGTTTTTTTAAATTATATTTTGCCATGCTTTAAAGAAGTTGAATTTTTGTGTTGAATAGTTATGTTATTTGCAGTTAAATACATGACATACAAGTTTCGATAGAAATGACATTAAAGTATTTTTTAAATGCTTTTCACCACATTCAGCAGTACACTTTAACTATATTTCAAAGACAATAGAAGGAATTAGGAAATGGCGTATAAAGAAGTACTTAAGTGGGTCAAAAAGCACTCTAGAAATTCAGCTAATTGAATTTAATATACATTTAAACTAGGGGTGTTTGATTGGAGTGGGAGCTGAACTCTCCAGGAGCAAGGTTTTATTATAATGAACTAATACATTTTCATTTAATTGCAATTACCATGCAATTAAGTGTCAGAAAACATTGATGTAGAGAACAATGGTGATTTCAAACTGCGTTTTTGAGACTTTGGAACACTGCCATTTTAAGGAGAAAATACTCAGCAATGGTGTTGACATGAATTTGCACATGATTCTTCTTATAAAAACACCACATAGATGTATAAACAACAATAAAAACTTGATTTTCACCACAGGGAGTCTTGAATTGTTCATGAGGTAGATGGCCTGAGGGGGAAAACTTGTGCCTGGATGTTCTAGTGCTCAACGCTCTGTAGCAAAGAGGCGGTGGCCTGAGTGTGTGTGATTTCCTCACTGTGGAGATGTACAGCTCTTGGAGGGTGGGCAGTGGAGCACCAATAATCTTCTCAGCAGTCCTGACAGTCCATTGCACTTTCCTTCTGTCCGATTTGGTAGCTGAACCAAACCAGATAGTTACGAAGGCACACAGAACAGGCTCAAAGACGGCTGAAAACTGTATCAGAGGCTCCAGGGGCAGGTTCAATCATAGACTGGCGAGTGGCGTGGAAAAAACTCAAACCTAAACTTTTCAGATGTGCTTGCCAGTTTTATGTGCTATATTAATCGGATGGTCTGGACAGAGATGGTGGGTACTCCGTGGGTGGGCCGTCTGAGGCTGAAACTACTCTCAATAAGACCATTATTGCATTCAGCTTCTTTAAACAGTGCAGAGATGATGATATTTAAGATCTCACGATGTAAGCAATAAAAGTTATTTACTGCATCACACACTAAACAAGCTAAACAAAGACTATAAGGTAAAGTACACACATTGTATTGGGAAACTTATAGACAGCTGTTGAAAATCATTTTTTCCTGCTGAAGTTATTGACATGGGTTTTAGTTAAACAGAAGACAATTATTGCCCTTGAGATAATAAAGCAATGCATGATGGGAAATCAGACATTCAGAATATTTCTCTGCCATTAACTTCTGGTTAGAATGTGGGCTCCTTTCATATTTTTACAATCAAAGAAGGGCACAGTTTTGTTTTGCTTTGTCGCATATGAATACAGGTAATTTTCGGGAAGGATGAAATTGTCCTTTGGTGAACAACTCTGGTACTCAAGTGCTTTGTCATTCAGTCCTCCACACTTTTCTGCTCGCTGACCCTCGGAAAACAAGTTGTGTAACTGTGAAAAGGCAGGAAAAAGTGGATGAGGTTGACATGGGATAAACATTTAAATTATTCCCTTAGTCGCCCACATTGGTTCTAATATTGCTATTTGTTTACAGCAATAAATGTTGTATATTATAACATAGTTTATGAATGACAAATCAGTAACTTTTTACAAAATGTTCCATTTGTACAGTACCCTACATTAGGGAACATGAACTAACAATTATGAAAGCATTTTTTAAATCCTAGTTAATGTTAAATTCAACATTTACTAATACATTGTTAAAATCAAAAGTTGCATCTGGTAATATTATTTAATGGACTTGAGCTAACATGAACTAACAATGAACAATTGTATTCTTATTATCTAACATAAACAACTCTGAAATTCTTTATTCTGATTGGTCAATCACATCATTTAATCCCCGATAATGGCAATTGGCAATAGCAACACTTAGCCTACATAGGCTGTAATGACCTCTCATGCTTCTTTCATGTCTCTCTCGTCTCATTCAAGCTGGTGCATTGAGTGTATTTACTGTAAAGTGAAACCGGAGGACAAGTAGGCCTATAGGCTAATATTGTTGAAGTGTTCATCTTGTTGCTAAAACTTTTGTTTGTAAACTGTAATGAATTATACGATAATAAACAGGTAAGATGTCTTCTAAAATCAATAGCCTATTCTATGTCCCTGCCACTAGGCCTATTTCTTTGGAGAAAGGCTGTGTAAAAAAGTGATAGTCTAGGTCTAACTGTACATTATCACTTAAATGTCTTGTTTGAATTTGTCTGTTCATCTAAGCTGCTTGCTAGGAGCTGTTATTCTTCAAGGAAACGTTTAATGAGCTAATAAAATATTTCAACTCAAATATTTCAACTTTGAGGCTATAGCCTAGTACACCCAATTGGGGTTTAATTTGTAATAACAACCAGCTGGGTGTAGCTACGTTATCAAGGCCTACTTAATTACTGTAAAAATGCTCATTGTTAGTTATTAGTTAATGTATGAACTAATGTTAACTAATGGGAACTCATTGTAGTGTTACGGACAGATATATATGTTCTGTAAATGTTCTGTGTGCAGGGGTTCCGCGGCTGGTGTTCGGGGGCCGGTGGGACTGTCTGACTGCGGGAGATTCGTGCTCTAGTGACGAGGCGTGCAGCCCGCGCTTGAGAACGCTGCGGCAGTGCGTCGCGGGAGGCGGGAGCGTGAAGCTGGGTCCGGGAGCGCGCAACCACTGCGAGAACGCAGTGACGGCCCTGCTGTCCAGCCCTCTGCACCTGTGCCAGTGCAAACGGGGTATGAAGAGAGAGAAGAACTGTCTTAGCATCTACTGGAGCCTCAAGCAGTCCGTACTGCACGGTGAGCGAATCCATATTCATCATTTTCCTTTGTCATTTTCACATATAAAGCACCCGCTCGCACAATGATGCAATTACAAGTTCTAATCCCCACATACCCACGCGGTCCCCGGAAACCACTTCAATTGATGCTAATTAGACGCTGCGTTTTAATATGCTAACCAGTTTAGCATTATAGAAGCATTACTTCAAACTGAACTTTTACCTGTGACACTCTCATTAATTCACAGACACAAAATACTCTGTTACCATAGCCACGAAAACCCTGTTTGTTTGTGCGTTTACAGGGCTGAGCTTGGTGGAGAATTACCCATATGAGCCTGTTGAGCGTGGCTTTGATTATGTTCGCCTGGCCTCCATCGCTGCAGGTCAGTGATTTTCACAGGCACACTATGCCGATTATGTACTATGATGTTGGATCTGATATTTGGAACTGATCACGATGTGTTTTGTCGCTTCTATGCCAAGCATTAGCAATGAAGAGTTATTAATAGGGCAGAGCTTAATAGCCTACAACAGCAAAACATGAGCACTTTGTTTAATGTACTCGGATATAACATAGCTGGAGTTCATCGGCACTGTTGATGATAAACTGCGTTTCCTACAAAATGAGGCATGCATTAGGGACCTGTCAAGAACAGAATACACATTTCGTTGTGGGGCGAAGAGACTCAGATCAGACCTAACAAAGACTAAATGGTCGGATGATTTATTTCAGAATTTTGTTCTCTAATCAAGGCTTTTTGCTCTTCACTTTCTCATCTCTCTCTCCCATCTCATTACGTTCCCTCAAAATAGCAGTATACCAAGTTTAAGAATGTTATTTTTGGAGGAGCAACATGACTAAAACTGTCAGTTTGTCAGCCTCAGTTTATGGGGTGCTTCAGGCATGAGCTGAATTTTATGGACCCCGAGGGCAGCACATAATGATCCATTTACTCATCATCTCTCTTGTGTGTGCACACACTCATAGACACACTTGAGTCCAAGCAGACACACATAAAATAACATTTAAACTCGTGGGGATAGGACAGAGAACGATTTCCTCAAAGTAATGGAAGTAATGTCGGTCATTCATGCATGACTTTTAATGATGGCTGCTCTCTCAACTCTCAAACACAGAGAACGTTTAACAAGCTGGCTTGAGACAACAAAGATCAAACAAAAGTGTGGAAATTAGAAAGAGGAGGGGGAGAGAGGGGAGAGATAGACGCATAGAAATAATAATAAAAGAGACAAAGACACTGTTAAAAATGTGAGAAATTAATGCAATATATTCTCAACATTACCGGTATAATGATCTTGTAACAGGCTGTTCGGACAGTAATAGACTCAAATTAAAAGGCCAACTTATCCAAATAGGTACTTTATCTCTTTTCTCTCTATGTGTTTTTTTGTTGTTGTCTTTATTATCTCTATTACATATTATCTCACTCATGTGGCATTAGGCTTTCAATGTACTGTACATTACTGAATACATTATGTTAGCCTTGAAAGATACATCTTTCATTGTCGATATATTAATGAGTGTAAGTGTATGTGTGTGAAGTGTAAGGCCTGTAATAATAATTTGATTGGTCCCAACAAACTCTGATGTACTTGCATCTAAAAACTGTGTCTACAGGAATGTACCAGAGTCCAGAATATTGATCTCAAGCTCGCAAAATCCATTAATGATGGATGAGAAAGTAATCTCGCCAAAACAGATTGAGCAGAATCTCTTGAATATAAAACAAAGAAAGGAAGGAAGGAAAAATTAATTAAAAAAATAAAGGGAAATAAAGCACAGAAGGATGGAAAAGAAGGTGAAAATAAAGTGGGGAAAGAAGAAAGGAAGCAAGAAAAATAAAGAAAGTAAGAAAGGAAGGATGCAAGCAAAGGAAGGAGAGAAGCAAAGGAAGTGAATAATGAAATAAAGGAAGGAAGCCAGCAAAGACAGGAAGTAAATGCAGAAAAAAGAAGAAAGCGAAGAATGAAAGAAAGGAAGGATGCAAGCAAGCAAAGGAAGGAAGAAAGGAAACAAAGGAAGTAAGCAAGGAAACAAATTAAAAAATTAAGCAAAGGAAGAAAGGAAGCGAATGATGATAGAAAGGAATGAAGGATGGAAAGAAGCAACGGAAGGAAAGAATGGAATGAAGGAAGGAAGGAAGGAAGGTGGGAGAGATGGAAATAAAGGAGAAAAGAAAGTAGGAATATAGAAAGTAAGGGAGAGAGAAAATTAAGGAAGGAAAGAAGGAAGCAAAGACAAAAGAAAGAAGCAAGCAAAAAAGAAAGGAAGCAATGAAAGGAAAGAAGGAAGCAAAGGAAAAGGAAGCAAGCAAAGAAATCATGCAAAGAAGAAAGGAAGGTAGGAAACGAGGAAGGAAAAAGAAAGCACAAAATTATGGATTAAAGAAGGGAAAATTAGGGAAAGAAGCAAAGAATGAAGAAAAGGGGTGGAAGCAAAGGAAGGGAGCAAAGAAAGGAAGCAAATTAAGTGATTAAAGAAAGGAAGGAAGCAAAGTAAGGATGGAAGGAAGAAAAGAAAAAGAAAGGACTAAAGCAAGGAAACAAAGAAAGGAAGCAAAGAAAGAAGGGAAGGACAGGCTGGAAGGAAACAAAAACTGAAGGAAGGAAGAAAAAAAAAACACGGGATGGTTGAATGGATGGCTAATAAAAAGAGCATGATAAAAGATATAGAGGAGGTGAAGATGAAGAAAAGATGACAATGAAGAGGGCAGTGGCTAAAAAAGTTCATGGCTCATGGGATAGCGAGAGAGAGATAAAGAAAGCTCTGTGGCTGTGTAATGCTGGCAGGCTCTCTGCGGCCCACATTAGTCTGATATGAAAAATGAAGCAGCCAGTCTCAGCTGGGAGCTGCTCTGTGATAGAGACCAGACTCATTCAACTTTCATTCGCACTCATGCTCTATTCATTAGCAGCACACACGGGCCACACAGACTCGCATCCAACTCAAACCTTCGTTAGTACATGTAAGAGAAAGAGAACCTTAACCCTCATTGGAACAATGAGCAAGAGCGCACCTCAAAAACTCCAGCCGCTCTGACAGCTGGACAAGGCCGTCCGGAACAATATGTATATCTATCCCTGGACCATTGATTAGTCGATACACTTGATGATATTAGTTATACAATTGGAAGGCTTTTGTAAGTGCATTGAACACACGGTCATGCCGATTCATAACTCTTTTATTTTTTTGACAAGTTTGTGGCTAATGCATACAAATTTGTATCTCATTTGTATGTTTTTAACATATTTTGAGCACAATCTCTTGAATATGAAAAAGAACATCGGACCCATCATACACCCGGCGCAATGCGGCGCGACTCAAGTGTTTTTTGCTAGTTTCAGCAATTATCATTTTCACGTCCTGCGCCACGTTGTTCAAATAGCAAATGCATTTGCGGCCATTTGTGTGCCCATGGTCTGAAAAAGAGGTGTGTTAAGGCGCATTGTTGGAGTGTTGCTATTTTGAGGCAACTGAAATAGACTGCGCCATTGACCAACAAAAACCTGGTTTAAAGTCAATGGTGCAGTATTATTTTTATTTAAAGGGCGCATTAGTAATTTACGCCTATAGGCGGGTGCACAACGCACGTACACTCTGCTTATTACACACACAGGTATGCGCAGCAGCACACAAACATGTCAAATATTAAAAATAAAAGGATTGCACTGTAAAAGATTATTATTGTGCACATAAAGATATGGTGGAATCCGGCTTGCCCCGTAGATGTTTGCTCTCTGGAGACGCGTTGTCTTTCCGCTTGCAAATTCCACCATGTAAATAGCGAATCCGCCATGGCTCGAGCACAACTGGCTTTTAAAGGGAATGGGAAATGACACTCTGATTGGTTTATTGCATGTTACGCCCAAAATAAACCCATTACTCATTAAGAGAATAGGGACAACACTTGTAGACGATGCGCCGGGCGCGCCGACAATTTGTCCCGTCGTTAAATTTGCAAAAGTAGATTCGGACACGCCCTAAGTGCACTTGCGCCGTGCGCTTTAGACCATGTGCTTAGATCGTTAAAATAGGGCCCATCATATGAATTCATGTAAAATCGCCACCTTGCAAAATAGTTATGTTTTGTTATGAGATTGAGTTGGTGTACAACGCATGTTAAGCGAGTTTGCACTAGGTAATGCCACATTTTGCAGTTGTGGTTTGGTATTCTGTGATATCTTGTTTACAGGCTTCAGTTTCAGCACTGGACAGCGACTGTATGGCTGCAGCCACTCCAAGTACCTCTTTGCTTGTACTCCAACGGAGGCAAGTGTAACTAACACGTTAATCTCTTTATACCCTAAAATCCCAAGCTTCTCTCTTTCCTTTTAGAGTCTGAGGTGGGCATGACAACTGTGAACCGTTGTTTGGACGCCGCCAAGGCCTGTAACGTTGACGAGACGTGTCAGAAGCTTCGAACGGAGTACGTTTCGGGGTGCATCGCCCCGTCAGCGCTAGCCGGGCCCTGTAACCGTGCGCGCTGCAGCAAAGCACTGAGAAAGTTCTTCGACCGCGTGCCGCCCGACTACACACATGAGCTACTCTTCTGTCCGTGCACCGACACTGCATGCGCAGAGCGTAGACGCCAGACCATTGTGCCCGCGTGCTCTTATGAAGAAAGGGAAAAACCCAATTGCCTGGTCCAGCTTCGAGTTTGTGAGGCCGACTATGTGTGCAAGTGAGTATTGTGTGTGTAAACAACCACTATAAATATAATCAAGCTCTTTTGAGGACACTGAAGATTGTAGAAGACAGACAGCAGCACTGTGCATTGTAGGACGCAATATATAAAGGTTCACAAGGTCAAGGTCTAAAAAAAAATGTATATAAGTCAGATGTGTTTAAAATGATATAAACTCAGATGAGATAAACACTTCAGTCATATCAGTAGCACCTGAAATGTTATTTTAGTGCACAACAAGGGTTGTACACTTATGGTTGAGATCACATGAGACCAGAGACCAGCTGTGTTTTGCAATTAAACCTTCACATAAACTTCTAAAGACATTTTAAGGACAAGTTATTATTTTGGCCACCAGTAACTTTAACAAAACACTTTCTACAAACTGCTGACGAATACAATTCTGTTTAAAAGTTTGTTTCAATAAGTTTTTAATGTTTGTGAAAGAACTCACCAAAGCTGCATTTTAGTTGGATCAAAAATACAGTAAAATACAACCATAATATTTTTACAAATTAAAATAAATATTTTATTTATTTTAAAGTGTTATTTATTCATGTGATGGCAAAGCTGAATTTTCAGCATCATTACCCCAGTCCTCAGTGTCACATGATCCTTCAGAAATTATTTTTTAAAATGATTATTTTAATTATTAGAAAGTTCAAAAGAACAGCATTTATTTAAAATATTTAATGTATCCTTGCTGAATAAAAATATACATTTATTTAAAAAAACTTTTGAATGCTAGTGTATATGAGAAAAAATGCCATAGAAAAAATGTATGCTATAGCACCCCTTGTGGTGGTGCTGATTTTAAAACGCAATAACACACAAAATCAAGATTATGCAGCTAGAACACTGTAATAAAAGTATAGGAAGTTTTGATTCTCCTTGTTACTTTATATGTTCACTATTGCGAAATAGTTGTAGATTCAACAAACACATTTGAGTCACTTTAAGTCTGAAAGCTCACTCAACAAGGCTCTCAATAGAGCTGAGTTTGGTCATATTTGAGCCTCCTCTTTTTACATCACAAACACAAAGGCCTTCATCGGTCTCTGCCATCGATCAACCATCGCGCTTGCACCAGGCAAGCACTCTGCTGACACAACACATTACACAAAAGGAGATCACTTACAGGCACAACAGCCAGTTAGCATAAGAAATCAGCAGGGAATGTGGGTGATTCCTCTGAGACTGACCTGGTTAAATGATTGATCGGTGACCAGAGGACTGGCAGAATGTGACCTGCATGTAAATGGTCCTGGCCGGTTGCTGCCACTCTTTCAGTCGGCTGAACATCTGGCAGTTCTCCAGAACTCTGAATTGCAGTCATGTCTCTGATTAAAATGAGAGCAAAACAAATGGATCAGGACTGTGTATATGTAGGGGGGAATTTAAACAAAAAAGGAGAAAAAGACTGAGGATGGAGCAGAGAGTGTTGGTGTAAAGCTTTTTAAACAGAACAGAAGAGGACAAAACATAACAGAGTGTGTAGCCCCACCTACACGTATAGCGTAAGGGAGCATAGAGGAAAGTGTTTGTGGGAATGTGTGTTTCTGAGGATTTGCTGACTGGCTGGATGATGGATGTGTTGTTGTGGTTCCCACAGGTCTCGCTGGGCACAGTTCCAGCACGACTGCCAACCCTCCGAGCTTACTGCCAGCGGCTGCCAGCAAGAAAATTACGGAGCCTGCCTTATTGCATACACCGGTCTGATAGGTGAGAAATCTGGGCAACGTAGTCCAACCTGGCTTATCACATACACCAGTCAGATAGATTCGAATTATGGGCATTACAATCTTATCAAGCTTCGCTTATGCACCGACAGGTACAATTATGGGAAGGGAAGACCATTGGGATACACACATGCTCTTGCGGGTTTACTAAACCTTATCAACAATGCATGTGATGCAGACACTTGGAAAATGTGGCCATCATTTATCCACTCTCATTACAAACCTGTGACATTCTTTCTTCTGTGGAATACAAAAGAAGATATTTTGAAGAATGTTTCAAATGTTTTTGGCCATAACATTGGGGCGAACTAAGCTTTTAAGCCTTCAGAGAGCAGCCCACGTCATTTTTCTTGCATTTCATGCTGTGCACAAATGCTGTGAAAAGTACTGTTCTAAAGTTTTAGTTGAAGCTGGTACCTTCTCGCTCTGAATAGTTACTTAAGGCATAAAAAATTTTTTTGTTTGGTTCCGGTTTCCGACCGACCCTGTCAATTTATGTGCGACCCAAATTTTTTTTATGAGCTTGGGGAAGAAATAATAAAAATTAAATAAATACACAAATAAAATTTTTTGAGGCGAACTATAATTTACGTTTTTGTACAGCTACAGCACCGTATTTTTATAGCACGCGATGCAAGATGCCTGTTGTCCTCCAGCAAAACAAACGAGGCAGCTACATGGTCATTCACACATCGTTCGTCAAACTGAACTATAATACATATACAAGTCTTTTTTTTTTTTTTTTGTCATTTAGGACACTTTTATCCATATACGCACACATAAATGCATGAGGCACGCACACACCACATGATACGTTAAAGAGTAACCTCCGCCTCCCAAGTTTCATTAAAAATCATCCCAATCCCTCGATCTGCTGTCTACCACTTTCGCCATGTATTTGTTCGTTTCTTTTATTATTTTATGCAATCCAAAACACTCGAACCTGCCGCGCTTCGTATCTCCAGAGCCCGTCTAACTTGTCCGGGACAAATGGATTTATGAAGGACAAGTAAAAGAGAATTTTACTTGCCCGAACGGACAAGTAGCCTGATTAGAATATCAATAACAAACAAAAAATAACTAGGGAATCACTAAACCGAGAGAATGATTCTGATTTTATTACATTTATTGTAAATTGCGATCGATTGTGGATAATAAATGTATTAGCCTGCTGACGGTGAGGTTGCACTGACGCTCGCGCAGCCTCTCGAGGAGAATTCTACAGACATGAGCGCTGCACACATACACACACACACACTCTCAGTTAACAACATACTGCTGCCTATAAAAAATCTAAATGTGGAGTTTCTATATTTTAACATATGTGTTAAGCAGCCTCAATTATTTTTCCTGAATACCATATCACGATTGAAAATGTGACATTGATTTCCTACAACAGTTCAATAAACAGTTAAAATTAAGTCACTTACATTTTAGATGTAATATTAGCTGTTTTTGTTCTGTTTCAGCAGCGAAAATAGTTCCAAACAAAAATCACAGCAGAACCACGGCGCATCTCACATGAACACTCGACCTGTTTTCATTACTGAATGATTCAGCATTTTGACCGAATCGGTTGAGTCAAAGATTCAATGACCCATTCATTATATCTGTCTCATTCTTGAATGAATCAACCGTTTAAACGAATCGTTTGAATTACTGAATCACTCATTAATAGGGCTGCCTGCCGCTACCTATTGGCAGTTTAGTGTTATGTTTATAAGTAGCCTAGTATACTTCTTTCCAATGTTTCTTATTTGTACTTTTAAATAAATTTCATAACATTATTTTATGCAATTGTAATTTTTCAGTGTAAATGATTTAATTTGATCAGCCCTACCTAGGGTAACGGTATGCTTCATCTTTCATTTTAAATTCCTAAATTTGATCAATAAATTCAATTATTTAGAATAAGACGACACTATAGGGCATTTAATAAGATAAAAAAAAATAAAAAAATCCGGACAAGCAACTTTTTTACTCGGACAAGTGAATGACAGATTTACTTGTTCGGAGGACAAGCACATGAAAAGGCTTAAAGTGTAAATTGCAGGTAAAAATTTTCACGAAGATAATGCAATGTGCTTACTAAACATAAAGATAAGAACCGCCCACCATTGTTTTTTATGTTTTTTATACCAAAATGCTGAATATAATATATAAAGTTTGTGCGTTTTACAGTGGTTTTAAGCACGCCCCCTCCATTCCACTATAGGCTGGGCGTGACGTCATAAAAGGTAACTTACTCCAAGCTTTTGCTACTGTCAATGCTCCAGGCCTGGAGTTACGTTATAGACCTAGCTAGCAAAAATGGTTAACTATTGTGTTTGTGCGGGATGTACGCGAATACATCAAAAACTGGGGAGAGGCTCCACAAGTTCCCCAAGGACAAACGGCTGATTCGTGCCTGTAAGTGTTAGCATAACTTACCCGAGGTAGAGCTTAGATCGGGCCCAAAAAAATCAAGCAAGACCCTACCCGAGCCCGCTGTGTCCGAGCCCGGTCCGGCCCTGCCCGACACATTAACTGTAATTATGAGCCCGGTTTAAACCCGACTATTTTTTAATACGTGGGTCGTTATAACTGACGTTCTCAACTACTTTCTATATATCTTTCTCCCGCCCGCAACATTTATGTTTTGTCCCGCTCCCACCCGCAAAAAGACTTTTTTTCTGTACCTCCAAATACTTTCAAGTTACCCTACGTGTCGCCACTATACACATAAGCATACATGCTCCTGATCACTGTTATAACATAAAAGCAAGCGGGCTACTGCGTGCATAGTCTGGCATGACTGCGCGCAAAGTGCGCTCCCATAATAATTCCTAAAAAGCTGACATCAGTTCATCGCGATCTCACACATCTGTTATTATCAATGAATCTTTCATAATATATACACTATGTTTGTTATAATTAGAGGATTTGCCAGCATACAGAATTCAGCACTGAACAAAAAGTCAGTTTTGAGCATGAGGGGAGTCCATCGTAAATGCTTCTGATTGGCCATTATTGCGTTTAAGAAATCAACACGTATGTCTGTGATTGGCTACATCGCTCAACGCTGCAGACCATAGACTGTAAAAAAAGATGGACGACGCCCCTTCGCTCTTTTCCATTGGAGAGAACTGAAGCCGCCAGCGTCCCGATATGGCGCCATAGACAGTATAAGAAATGGACAGAGCCATCTCATTGGAACTCAGTTGAGACAGTTGAAGCCCATTTTTAGCGATTTCTGAGCACTTCCGTTCCTGACGCGCAGACTCAAACCGACTCAAACTAAGCTTGATGACGTGAGCAACCTGTCTGACAGACGTTACTCTTCTAGTAGCTGTGCGTGAAAATTGCCACCGTTAATCTTGCAGAGACGGGGAACTTAAGCAAAAAGTTCTTTGGCGTGAGTGAGCAGGAGTAAGTATTCCGTTGCTTTTATGGACTCATTATCTATGGGCTTCTCCCTTGACGGGACGTCCCCCCGATTGCCTGCGAGCTTCTCCTCCTGTCTGTACGGTAATTTCTGTACAGCGCGACAGAGAGTCGACTGGTTATGACGCAATCGTTAGCCTATTTTTACTAAAACTGTTTCTACGGGGCCATAATGTAACATAGAAGGTAATGGAGCACTTTATACATTGTCGTGTTTCTTTATAAATAAATAATGGACAAATGGAGTCTTTAAACGCCTCAGATGTAAAGTTATTCGCTGTCAAAGTGACGCCAAAATGAATGGGAGTCAATGGAAATGCTAACGCAAGTGAAGTTCTGCTACAACATGGCGGCACCCGGCCGGCTTCAACTTCCGGTCGATGGATTACCCCCTTGTATGGCGCTGACATATTGGAACTTGAGTCTGCGCAGTAGCGTTTTCGGGACCAGTCATGCGCAGTCGTGAGCAGGAAATAAAGCCGCGAAATCAAGGCCCCGCCCTCACTCTCGCTGAATCAATCGTAAGCACACGCCCTGCACTTTTCTTAAGTGGCCTTGTCTGCTCCGTTCCTCTCCAAATATGATGTCTGCTGATTGCAGTACCTCGTTAAAATAAGGTAAATACAACTACTAACCACATAGTCAACATTATGAACAAAAGTCCGTTAGTACTTCAGTGACTACTTCGCACAGAGAAGCTGTCAATCACAGCTGCCAATCATGATGTCACAGCACCGTTTTTATAGCATCAAATAACTAACTAAAAACTAACTTATTTTAAAAACAAACACTTGAAATTACATCAACGTGATAGAAACTACAGTAAATGACAGAAACTATCTTTAGAAAAAAGATATGTGAAGTGTAATTTAATTGTTTAGTTGGTCTCACGTTGAATAACATGGGGAGGCGGGGCTTATGACCTGTACTAGGACCGGTCACCGGGGGGCGATCGAGACGTTTTGGCTTCACTCTTGAAGGCTTGTGCGGCACGCTTGCTGCAGACATGTTAGAAATAGAAACTCTGCCTGTAAACCGTTTCTATTTTGTTTTAGTTGTTCTTATTGCTTTTCTGCAACAGATGAATAAAAATGTATTCGTTTTTAGGTTTTATTCATTTCTAGTTTGCGGGAGTCCCGCGAATCTAATTATTCTCCCTCAACCGGCACACACAGAGTGAGTGCATTACCGCCAAGGTTTTCCATCGACCGGAAGTTGAAGTCGGCCGGGTGCCGGACAAACGGGTCTGTTGTCCCGGGCCCAGGGTAGGGAGGGGGGCCCAGAACTGGGCCCTCATTAAATTATGGAATAATTGTAAAAAAAAAAAAAAAAAAAAAAAAGCATATTTGTTGAAAAAATATCTAATATTTGAGTTACATAAAAGCTTTTTATTCGTTTTCTTCCTAATTGTCCTTGAAATAGTGGTCAAGAACCCCCCCCCCCCCCCCCAAACAAAAATGGTTTGGCCACTGATCGAAATATGATGTTGTCATTTGATTTGAAGTTCAGTAGGCTAACGTTACGCTCAAAATGTCAGCACAAGTCCGGTGCTCAGAAAAG